GCAGCAAAGAAGAAAGTTATGGACAGGTAGGGTAGAGGGGCTTTCAAACTGGATGGGAACATAAGTGGAAAAGCCTTTTTTTCAATGCTCCACTTGCTTTTTTGTCTGATGAGGCTTTTTTATTTGAATAGTTTATAGTCTCTCTTTCTTTCATTCACTTTCTACTCTGTATGCAAGGTATACATTAAAATTAGTTGTTTAGTCTATTTCTAAACTAATATCTGACATCATTTGTTTTGCTGATAAAGCAAGCCTCTCAATTGTTATCGTTTTGAAGTGGGAAATTCTGCCCTACCTTTTCCATTTTCCTCTCCTGGCCGAGGATTTCTGGTGGTGTCTGCAGAAGGAAAGAGATCAAGGTATCAAACTATTCATACAGCATTCCTGGCATTTGGTTACTTGTCTTGTGTCTTGTATTTATCTGTAATGCTACATACGGGAGACACTGAATCCAAAAACCCCTTCATATTCTTTCATGAGTCTCTTCAACAGGGTGCTTTTCCCAGCTCCTGATGGGCCACTCAGAACTACAGGCCTGGGTCCTGACATTTCTCTGTGAGACAATCAAAACAGGTGCATTTGTTTGTTAAAGTGAGATGTTTATGTTTTTTGGTAATTAAATCCACAAACCAATGCAACACACTTTTTTTTTAACGAGTTGCAGGTCTGTTCTAATAGGGTTGTAGATAGCAGGGAAATGTTTTAAATGTACGCTCTTGGTCAAAAGTTGCAGTAAAAACAGTAATATTGTGAAATATTATGACAATTTAAAATACAACTGTTTTAGCATTTTTATTATCATGAATGTTAAAAACCATTGTGCCGATTAATATTTTTTATGGAAACTTTTGTCAGGATTCTTTGATGATTAAAAAGTTCAAAAGAACAGTAGTTAATTAAAAGAAATGTTTTGTAACATTATAAATGTCTTTACTGTCACATTTGGTCAATTTAATGCAACCTTTCTGAATAAAAGGTAGTGTAATGTAATGCAGTTAGGACAGCAAAATAAAAAAGCATATCAACAAAGCAGGTGAAATGCTTCCCATATCTTTTGACGTCAATCAAACTTTACAGTATTTTGGCAGAAATCCATCTGTCACTACATTACCAGCCAACTAGACAGATGCCAATACGGACAGGTTGCGTGACATGACTTCATCCTCAAAAACACAAACAATGTAAAAGAAAATTTAAAATAGACTATACACATTAAATACAGGTTCGCTTGCAACGAGGACGAGACCATGAAACCATAATAATGCAAGAGAGATTTAGAGCTACATGGTACTACATTCTGATATAAAGTGTTAGAAAAGACATATTTTAAGTGTATTTTCTACTTAAATCATAAAAGTCTTTATTATTCAATCACAACAAATAAAAACCTTCCGTACTGAACATGGATTAGGTCAAGTAGGAAGCTTTGGTCTTGGTGCCCAGCTGAGAGAGAGAGAGAGAGAGAGAGAGAGTGCTATAAACTAGAGAAGCTGACATGGGCAGACACTGAGCCCATTGCACGCCTGCGTCTCTCCAAGAGAGAAGCTCAGGAACTAATCCACTGATCCGGGTGATTAGTGATTCTGTTTTGAGGTCTGTGGACTGGGTCTTGTAATAAAGAACAGGGCACCTATTTCCTGACTAAGAAACTTTTATTTATTTGTTTATTTTTATTTTTTGTCAAAGTAACTTTAAAATGTTAAATGTGTTGCTGATGTTCCAGCTGGCTCAGAACAGATAAAAAATGTTATTTTGTGAATTTTTATAAATTAAATTTATTGAAGAGTCTGTCTCTTTCACAATAATGCAGTTTAGCAAAGCATTTGTAAAGTGCCATGAAAATATCTTAATGAAGTCAGGTTAGGCCAGTGAAGAGGATTACCCAGCAAGTAAGCCAAATGACAAAGGCCCAGTGACCTGATGCCTGTCTTAATGTTTTCTACAATGTCTGTCTGGAATCATGTCTGGTTCATTTGTTAGGGACTCTGCTGGAGACTAGACCAACCAACTGGACACACAATCTGATCAGGGAAAACTATACAGGGAAATATATACAGTTGCCTCCTATGAGTTCGTTGTTGACTGTTTTCTGTTTATTTTATCAAATATCCCTGATGAAATATTTTGGCTACTGTATGTTCCAGTGTTTCTGTCTCAACATTGTCTTAAGATGATGATAAAGAACTTAAAAAAAAAAAAAAAAGAATATTTAATGTGTGCTTATATTTTCAAGACAATATGGAATTTCAAAACTAAAATTCACTGTCAAATGTATTATATATAATATTTTAATGATAGTTGAAAATTAAATGAAAAACAAATTAATGTGCTTCTGCAAATTAAAGAAATAAAAATCCAATATGTGTGTCCAGTATATTCTTTTTAGATTGATCACATTTCATCCATGTTTAATAACAATCAATATCATGAGACAGTCTTGCCTATAGATCCATTTACATTACAATAAACCAAAAATGTTGACCTCTAATTTTTGAACACCAGGAAAAAAAAAGCAAAGACAGCTCTTACCTTGTCTGTGCAGGTTAGATGGTGAAGTGAGTATGTGTGTGTGTGTTTCTAACTCACTGACACAGCTTACTGCCAGTGACAATTACCACCTCCTCCGTTTACTCAGCCAATCAAATTGCTGCTCGTGTGTATCTGTTGTTATGACAGAGATAAGTAGTTACTAATCATACTAAATTTTGAAAAGCCATAATCAATTGTTTTTTTCTGAGAAATAATGGTGAAAATGTTCAAAAGCTTTTTGTAGTCAAGATTTATGTCCATATTAACACCAGCCTGAGAAATGTTCAATATATAACTAAATATATAATACATAACTATATACGGTTTATATATATATATACCTACAGTATATAACTAAAAAGTGTGACAACTAGCCCGTATATCCTGTAATGCATTGTAAATCATCTAAATATGGCAAAACTCAAATTATATAATATTTTTTGTCAATTATAAATGGAAATATAAAAATAAATTATGCTCAAACTATGCTACAAAATTGTCTATGCATATATTTTCAAGCAATATGGAATTTTACTAAACCAAAATTCACCATCAAATTTGATTTATCAAAAAAAAAAAATATATATATATAAGAATGTGCTGAATAATAATTATTAAAATGATATTATTGATATGAAATTATCATACAATATCATACAATGCATAGTCAGCTAAAATGTTATTTAAAGATGTATTTGGGAGACAAATGTTATTTAAAAAATGTTATTTAAAGGCTCTGAGAAATTAACAAATAGATTCACTGAGCCGAATCAAACAACAATAATAATTTTGTCAAATAAAATAAAAAATTTGTCCATAAGTCTCCATAGAGTGTCCAAAAAGTTTGGTCTGCTAAGATATCCCCTGCAAAGTGTCCAAAAAAATAATTTCATTTGGGTTGCTGGGGCTGGAAGTGTAAATATAATTTTTGGTCACATTTGGGTTTTGAAGTAAAATACACTGTGAGAGTAGTGCAGCAGTTAACTTCCTTTTGCATTAGACACAAGGCTAGGCTAATCCAACACTAACCTAATTCCACACAGATGAGTGTCCATATAGTGCTGCTAATTAGAGATATGTCAGGACATCAGCCTCAGACATCCTTTTATCAGGTCATTCATTACAGTCATCTTTAAGAATGGCTGAAACGAACCAGGTGGTGTTAAGATACTTATGATGCAATAAACAGACTGAAAAGAAAGAGGAAATGCTGATTATTTATTGTACCTGCTACTGTTTCAGCTCAAATAGAGGTACAGGCAAAGTCAGTGTCATAGGTTTGATTCCCAGGGAATACAGTACATTAACTGATTAAATTTATGCAATGTAAGTACTGTAGCTTTGGATAAAATGTCAGTAAAATGCATAAATGTACTTCCACATTTGGAGCCTGGTGCTGAAAACAATTTTAAGGCTGACAATGACATTTGTTAGACAACAACTTTAGTTTATTTTTTGTCAAAGAAAAACAGATGAGTCTGTACAAAATACATCATCATAAAACAAAGCTGGTTTTATGTTTCATTCTATTTCAGTTCTATCAAAAGTGCTTCACGATCTTTCAGTTACCTGTAGTAACTTGACTAGAGTAACAAAACTATTGCTAAAATACCACAAAGGAAATTGAATTCCTTTTCTGTTAGTTCTGAGCTTAGTTCCTTGAGTCGTAATGTCATAACCTAGAGTGACTCAGTGTCAACAGACCTTTATTCTGCTTGGCAGTGGAGAGGAGTGAAGGCTAAGCAGAGATCAACCTCAGCGTCCATATCCTGCATTAAGAATCAATTCCACCTGCTAATGGAGGGAAGCACGTGCTCTTCGATGCAGCTCTGCTGTCTAGTACATATCAATACAATAACCTGCCAATCACCTGTTAGGGGTTAAATATTAATTCATTACAAGAAAGTAGACAATTACATCTACACAGCATCTTAAAAGTTGAAGTAGAAGAGCAAAAAAAGTCACAAATATACAGGGAACTACTTCAACTCAGAATACCTGTTGCTGAACCTTGTAGTCAAAACTATTTTTATTTATGCGTGAACTGTTTGATAAAATTAGCACTTTTTGAATCTACAAACCTTGTGAGAATGGCTTTGTAATCTTGCATCATATTCAGTCTCTTGTCTTTGAGATTTTATGCATGCTAAGGATAAGGGGATAATGAGACAAAAATTCATAATATAAACAATTACACTACTGTATATCACCTGTGTAACAGCTGAAATGATAATTTATCTTAAACCATATTTAAAGGATCCCATTCAATATTAAATTAGTTACATAAGTATGGAAAATGAATGTACAAGATTCTTTGCACATTCTACACAAAACACAGTTCATGAATGATTTAAAAGTTAACTGCTTACCATTTCAGATATCAGCACTTCTAGATCCAAATTAGAAAAGAACTCTTCAGTGTAAACATTCACAAAACTTGCTTTAGAGCGTTCTTAATGAGAATAACTTAACAATATTTTATAAAACAAGGTTTTATACATAGAAACAACATTTTGTGATCAGTTTTACTGTCCTTACAATACTGTTACGGCAAATTTGTACTTTAAAACTTTACCATTTCATTAAGAAATGAACACAGTGGTCTTCATGTAACTGGGTTGCATTCCGACAGGAACTTTTGGGCAATGACTCTGTTGGGCAAGACGTCCTCGAAGTTTTGCATCGGCCCAGAAAGATTCTCCTCAGTAAAAGTGATCCGTTTGTGTAGAGTGCAAACAGGCAGATGACAGGACAGCTGTAACTCTTCACAAATACACTTGTCTCAGGTCCCCGGGTGAGGTGATAGTGTTGCACTGTGGACACAGTTTCTTGGCTCCCTGCAGGAATGAGGGACCAATAAAGATCATTTAACAATCAAAAACAACATAAAGAGTTCACTTGTTGAAGTCACACGGTTGTGCAGGAAATCTTTTGTTAAGTACAGTATGATACATGTTCTCATCTCACCAGTGTGCGAAGCCAGCATTCCTCACAGTGGACATGCCAGCACTGGATGGAGGTCAGAGGTACTGTGTAGGAGTCCTGAAAAAAGTATATGTACACAATAAAATTACATGCATAAGAAAAATGTATTTTTCTGTTTTCATCATTGATAATAATAAGACACCTTTATTGAGAACCAAATGAGCATATTGCAATTATTTCTGAAGAAGCATGTGACAATTGAAGACTGGAGCAAAGGCTGCTTAAATTCAACTTTGCCATATAAATTACATTTTAAAACATTAAAATAGAAAACAGTTATTTGTATTGTAATAATAGTCAAGTCAAGTCACCTTTATATGTATAGCGCTTTATACAATACTGATTGTGTCAAAGCAGCTTTACAGTGTCAAACAGGAAAATAGTTTGTCAATAATGCAAGAAGACAACACCAAAGAGTCATTTTAAAGTCAGTTCATTGATGATTCAGAGATGTCATCAACCAGTTCAGCTCTCTTCCAATAGTGTCTGTGCAATCAGTCAAGCGTCCCCAACTAAGCAAGCCAGAGCAAGCCTAATAATATTTTATATTACTGTTTTTACTCTATTTTTTATTACATAAATGCAGCCTTGGAGAGCATAAGAGACTTCTTTCCAAAACATAAAAAAATATATTACTGACCCCAAACTTTTGAATAGTAATGTCTACATAATTAATATATACTAAAATGAAAATAAAGTACACATCTAATTAAATAATGTATATTTATTTGCAATTAACAATTTTTTAAAATCCTTTTTGAATAAATATGCACGGTCAAGCTTACCATGCAGATGAGACACTTGAATCTGTCCCCTCGTGTGAGCTGCTTCTCCAGATCTCTGATCCGTGTTTTCAGGGCCTCCAGTGTAGTGAGGGAGGGGTCATCCGGTAAGCTAAACGAAACAAAGAACAAATCCATCAGAGATTGATTAGAGAGTCACAGCGTGCTGAGGGCTTTGTCGCTGAAGGCCACGTTATGAATTCTAAATTACACATGAACGGTAATCAGAAGACAGCTTGCATCATTAAATGAGGTGCATTCAGAAGCAAATTCAACATTGTAATACATGAGAGTCAGCATTCCTATTGTAATGCCATATTGAACAGTAAAAATGAAGAGCATACACTGAATGCATAAGTCTATGTTCAAGTAAATGGATGCGAAATGTGATTGGTTAGCCAAAAGAGATAATCAAAGAAAAGACAAAAAAGGTCCTACAGAAATTTGTAGTAACAATACAATTCCAAAACCTTTTATTGTGGGCAAAAACAGTCTAAGATGGCCCCTTGTATCGGCCCTTCCCACAGCAGGTGAGGGACAGACATGTCACTGCAGTGTGCAAACATTGTCTCAAGTGTAATTGCTTTATTAGTGTGTCCACACAGGGCCGGGTAGCAAGCGCCCCGCAGCGCACTGTCATTTGTCAGGAACGGTCCTCCTTCCCGCCTCACTAACCCTTCCTCACTCAAGTGTTTCCACTTCACCACAATTAAATAACACTCGCTCAGAGCCCCCTAATCCCCGGTAGGAACATCCTGCCCAACGCATTCCCATTTAATCAGCTCTCAGGAATTGAACTATGACAGCAGGGGGTTTAAGTGATCCATCAAAAATGCCTCATGTAATCGCCTCCAAATATAAGCATAATGAATGCTGGTTTTTCTCTTGTAGCTGTCTGGTGGAAATATGAAATAACTGCCCTTGTCCTCAGGCTAAATACCTATTGGAGAGGGGTGACGGATCAGATACAAAAATATGCTGCAAAACAGAAATCCTACACAAGTGCATACCTAATATTAATATTATATATGATATATTATATATTTAATATAAAATTTAACACACACACACACACACATATATATATATA